ACAAAAATGCATTTTGAACTTAAGGGATGTGACTAGTGATTTCCAGAAGGGGGCAAGATAAATCCCAAAATTGGGCATATGGCGGAAGGGCAAAGTGTACCGCGGTCCTAATTTTATTGTTTGCCTATAACGGCCAAACTATTTGATTTTTTTTAATGCCACTTACAAAGCTTACTCTCAAATGTGAAGTCTTATGTGTGTGTGAATTTTATCGACATCGGACCATAATTGGCTAAGATATCAAACAATTAAATAATTTTTTTTCCTTAAAAAAAAATAATTTTTTTTTCGAAAGTTTGAAGTGGCACAAAATTGCCAAAAATGTACCCAATGGCTCAAAACTTTTTTTTTGAGTACTCTATTGTGTCCAAAATACGATTACATTACGGAAAATTCTGCAAATATATTTTATCTATTTTTTTTTTGACCACTGTTCATTGAGTGACGACCAAAAAACACGGTTTTTGAGAAAAGTTGCCTATAATTGACAATTTTTAGTTTTTTGATCTTAAAATTAAGCAAACCCAAATTTTATGTCTTCTAAATGTGTATACAAAGTTTAAAGTGTGTATGTTTCTTCTAAGTTGTAGAATTCTCCCGACAAAAGTCCCATTACACGCGCTTCGCGGGATCCAAAACTAGTGTATACACTACATTACTGTAATTTGATTTTTTTGCGATTTCCAGTTTTAAATTTCTTACATATCTAAATTTATTAGGCTTAGAATTTATTAAATTGTATTTTACTGACTTGTTACAAGACGTTTCTTGAGTTTTAGCCGCACGCGTCGCATCAAGGATAGTAATGGTCTCGGCGTTCGCTATCTGACAAGTTTAAACTTCAAACGGTCATATTTTTACAAATTGAATCGCTTGATAGTGTTCGTCGGCATATATTTTTAATAACCGTGTTCAGCAAGCTCTGTGTACACGTGGCTTTTCGAACTTCTTCAGCAATTTATTGAGTAAGTACGTTCCTAAATTAAAAAAATTCTATCACAGTGCTATAATTTTTTTGTTTACAGGTTGCAATGGCTGGCCTGTATTTATTATGTCATCAGACACTTGCAGAGGGTGAACTATTGCAGATTTGCAATGCGACCTATGACATTCGAAAACTACGCATTTTTTGTGCTTAGAAAATTGCTCGTAAAACGAGTGGTTTTTTCTTAAATCCAACATTTCCCCTTTTTTTGAGAAAAAACAAGCACACTGTCGATTTTTTCCGAAATTTGGGCACTTTACAGACTGAAAATATATTAGAATCAGTAAGTTTATTGAGAAACAAGCTTACTTTCTCTCCCAATTGCCAGAAAATTCGAGTAGCTTCAAATCTCGCGAGAATTACCGATCTTTGCACATGTGCGCTCAGAAAACAGTGGATGCTAGAAAAAATGTATATTCCACAGTTTTTCGTGTCTTTTTTTTTTTCTCTATCATCTGATGGAAACAGTTTTCTATTCAGATAATTAGTTTTCGAGTTAATTAAGAAAAAAGTACGAGAAATTAAGAAAAAATAGTTTTGCAATTTTTTTCAAAAAGTTCGGAACGTAACTAGAAAATACGTATTTTTGTCATGCATATATATCTTCTCCCATTTCAAGTTTTCTTGTAAATAACTAAAAACCAGATATTAGAGAACAAAAAGCAAGCTTATCACCAAGTTGGAACTTACACTCAGGCTTAGGATTCATTTCCTAACATTTTTAAAGTATACCTTTTTGTGTATTTTTTTTGTGCTCTTTTCGATGGCGAAGTTAGTTTTTTCAAATATATTTTTTTTGTTAGATGTTTTCGGAAAACCCGGAAAAAATCATATGGGAAAAAAATAAAAAAAAAACTACGTCTTCCGGTTTCCTGCGAATTCCCGAAAAATTATGGCAGATTTCGCCACGGGACTTATTTTATTTGAGAACCAACAGAAATATACGCAACTTCTCTCATGGGCACATATTTCTAACATTTATAATTTCGCCACAAATTCATCGCAAATTTCATGTTCATGGTTCTGATCAAAAAAACGAAAAAACGACTTTTGGTAAAAGCACTTCTGGCGGCGAGAAATTCGCCATTAATACTACCTGTGCAATGAATTTCCGAACTATTTTTGCCCTCTCTTTCGAATGGTGCATTTATTTTCACTATCAGAATGATACTTGCCCAGATAATTAGCATTTTTACAATGGAAAATTCCGGAAAACCCGGTTTTTCCTAATTTAAAAAAAATTGAAAAACTGCTACATCTTTTGTTTCTTTTCTTCGAAAAGATCACATCAAAATACACAAGGTCCTTTTTGTTTGATCCAATTACAAATTAATGTAAGCTCGAAGGGCCTTTTTTTCGTTATTTAATTGGACTATAAGTACAGAAAACAAACCATTCCAATTCTCTCAGATAGCCAAGCAGCCTTAAAGGCTCTTGATTCAAACGGAATTGATTCCGTCAAAACTTGTCTGGAATTGCCTTGGAATACTAAATGATCTGGTAGCCCACAACAAGGTAAAACTAGCGTGGGTACCAGGGCACAAAGCTATCCAAGGAAATGAAAAGGCTGATGAACTCGCCAAAGAGGCATCAGATCTACCATTCACAGGTTCTGAACTTGTATTTGGGATAAGCAAAACCTCTGCTCGACAGGCAGTGAACAGGTGGATAACCACAAAACACCAAATTCACTGGCAACAGATAAGAGGGCACAGAACCAGTAAGTTCATGCTAAGGGGACCAAACCCACGCATGGCTACTGAGGCACTACAACTCGCAAGGCCTCAGATATCCATTAATTACTAACGGGGCACTGCTTGCTGAAACAACTTGATGTGATGGGATTACACAATGATCCCACTACGTGTAGACCCTGCATGGAAGAGGATGAAGAAACCTCATACCATGTGATCTTCGAATGCGAAGCTCTTACTAGGCGACTTTTCATCCTTTTCGGCCTAGAACCGGAAAAAACGCCCCAGGAACACTTGGTAGGAAACCTATTAAAACTAACCAAAGACACAGGACTATTCCAAAGATAGTACCTGAATACGGGGAAAGCAGGGGAATACAATAGACCCAAGAGGCCGCAGTGTTCTGAACCAAATCTAACGCTACCTGTTTATAACCGACAAAGATAAAGATAATAAAAAAGACAGTATTACCTGATTATGGTAATTGATGCATTTACCAAGTTTTTATTTAAGAAGCCAGTGAAAAGTACACAGACCAGTCAAGGATGGAAAATGTTTTCCGGGCATTTGGTGTGTCTAGGCGAAATATATGCGATAGAGGTTCTTGTTTTACGAGCGAAACCTTTACGGAATTCACCAGAGATTTGGGTATAAAGGTTGTCCTAAATGTTACTGCAACTCCACGTGCCAATGGACAAATAGATACGGTACAATCGAACAATATTGGCTACTATATCAACCAGAGGAAATGGGACAACACAATAAATTATGTGGTCTTTAGTATAAATTCATCATTAAATAATGCGACAGGAAAAAGTCCCTACGAGCTCTTAATCGGGTACAAGCCAAGGAAAATGCATTACTCATTCCAAACTGAAGAGAAAATGGAAAAAGATATCCAGAAGACGAGATGTGAAGCTGGAAAACGAATCCAAGCATTTCAAGATAAGCAAAACAAGACGCGAAAGAAATGTCAAGAGTACAAGGTAGGAGATCTAATAGTTCTACGACGGGCAAATCTTGCAATCAACGGCAAGAGTACTAAACTAGTGCCTAAGTATAATGGTCTCTACATCATTTAAGAAATACTCGGACGTAACAGATATGAAGTAGGAGACCCGCCAGGCTCTAAACGTGCAAGAAAGATATATCGAGGAGTTTGTTCGGTTGACCCAATGAACAACTCGGACACAAATCCTGAGGACGAAAATGTTGTCTAATATGTTATTTTTTTTCTAAATTATTTTTTTAAATAATGGCTAAAAGCGATGATGGGATGTCTGGCCAACATTTATAAAATATCTCTTATTCTTTTCTCTCTTAGCAAATGTATTGTTTTGCTTATATGTTTATTTACGTTTTCCAGATTTACATTTTCCGGAACGGAAAAATGGTAGCATGGCCGAGTGTAACAACACATAGATACGGAACATCCGGCTGGATCGTATTTTTGGGAAAGCTGACTCAGATCGGCCGACCCGCAAAGGAATGCGATGAGAGGACGAGACGAGGCGACAAAGCTAGTTAGTCTGGTAATATCGCTCGATACAAAATTATATTATAAAATATTATATGTATTGGTTTTTCGAGGTTTACGGTATTTATTAAATTTGGGTAATTAAATATAATCTTTTATTTCTATAAAATTGAAGTGCGTTATATTCGACGAGGTCAAAATAGTCTCTAACTCAATACACATAGCGTGTAACTCAGATGACGCCGTATAATAACCGGTTGAGTTTTTCACTTCACTTAATCCATTTCCATACTAAAGGATTATTCTGAAAAAAGGCCACTATTGAAGAATAAACAAGAATTTTGAGTGTTCCTGTATGATATTTGTTTTGTTTTTAGTTGTGACGTTTATGGTAAAAATATGTCAAGTATTGTTAATTAATAAAAATCTAACGCTTGTAGTTGCTTTTATTTTTTCTCATTTATTTTTATTTACCACACAATGTCATCCACCTTTTACTAGAGCCACCAACAATGAGACTGCAGAACCTCAAACCGCTAAAAATCTGTAACGGCACTCGGTTACAAGTTAAAATACGTTATACAAATTTCATAGAAGCCATTATTTTGACCAAATTGGTTATATTATCTCAGGTTAAGGTGTGGTGTGTATGTAAAGGATTCGTTTAATACCCAGCGATCTCGTGTTTAATTTTACGAAACATAAAATTCCACCTCAATTTAAATTGCCCCATAAATAAATCACAGCATCATACTTTACAATTATTAGTTGGCGTAGAGATTAATTCAAGATCCAAAAATAAATAAAAATAAAATATACACATATACATAAAAATAAAACAAAATGTTTTAATAAAAAAAAAGGATTTATTCAAATTAAAGACAAATTATAAAAAAAAACATCAAAAAGCGCATTAAAAAAAGTATGTACAACGATTATCAAAACTAAATACTTATAATATATTCTTTACGAATCCTCTTACAGCATTTATAAGTTTTTGAAATCTTTCTTTAGTTTTATTATCAGTAAATACTTCAGTCGTATTATTTTTGCAAGTTTTATCGTCATTCACAAAAATGTCATTATATTTCTTTACAGATGGCATTGACTCTACAATACTATCATTAATATATTTATTTATTTTAACTGTATTATCACCAATAGTTTTTAATCCATCGATAGTTTTATTGTCATCGTCAGTTTTAATATCATCAACAGTTTTAACATCATCAGGTCCGATATTATCAACAATAGTTTTAAGATCATCAGTAGTTTTATTATCATCAGTAGTTTTAATATCATTGGTTTTATTATCATTAGATTTAATATCATTAGTTTTAATATCGTCAGTAGATTTAATATCATCAATAGTTGTAATATTAACACCATTATCAGAAATAATATTGCCGTTAACCAATCCCCAATAATAGTCATCTTGTACAGAGGAGCTCCGAGTCTCGTTCTGGATCAACTTACCCGTCATCTGCTGCAGCTGAGGTAGGTACTTTTTCCAAAAGGCACACTGCTTGAGCCTGGGCCCCCTACCGGTAGCAGTGGAATTGACGGCGAGCGTAAGATACTCTCTGCCATAGGCTGTATGCAAAGGCCAAAACGTAGGTGTCCAAACCCCGTTCGGACTCAAGCTGGGATTTCCTGTTTTCGCGAAGTTCGCCCAATATCGCATCAACCGTTTACTCAGGTCTACTTCTTGAGCAGTGTAGGATTTGGCCGGATTTAAGGGTTCTCCGAATAAATAATTTATTTCGTCAGCGTGCATCACACCTAGAAAATACAAATAAGATAAGGTAAACGTTAAGGTAGGTACATTATGCGCTCGAAGATATGTTAAATTTTGTATAGGACATTAGATTGGATGAACAAATCTGTTGATTTCCCTTCAGGTTCTCCCGATTTATTTCCACTTAATTTTTTGATGTGAGGTTACAGTAAAAAGAATGCATGTAGTGAAAAAGAAGTTACAGTTATTGTAGATATGAAAATCAGAAGTACAAAACAATCATACCATAACGCTTGCAAATCTAATTATGATACTAACATTGTCAATCAACCATGCGTTTTATTTTGGTGCAACTATTGCTCATGAATTGCTAAATCATCTACGATGAATGAAGCACATTGATCTGAATATAATAAATGCATCTATGTGTCTTTGTTTCTTAAGAGAGCAATTGGTGAGTTTGCGCACAAGACATTAGGTTAACATCGGATTTAGGATTTAGGATTATAAAAACTTGTTGAAATTTACATGAATTTTTCTTTGAGAAACGAATATATTCTTGTATATTTTGTAACTACTACTCGAAAAAAGAAATATCTATCAAAAATTGTACACTTCGAGAAGAATCGTTTTTTTTTTATTAAATATGCAAAACATCAAAAAATCCATTTTATTAAAATAATATATGTTGTTAGTTGTGCTATATAAAATTAATCCTAAAATCACAACATCAAAGAATAAACAATGTCACTAATGCCAATAATGTGCTATTTTGGAACAGAGTATATTATTGATAGAAGATGAATTTATTGACCAATCAGTTAATGACTAGATCTAGAAGTTAGATACAAATTGAAGTTAAAACACGAAACATCCTATGCTCCGGCCTTTTATTTATTGGTCAAACAGGTAGATTTTTAAAGAACTTCCCTCTTGTTAAGGATATATTTTCTTTTTTTTACATGGAATTTGATTGAAGTTAAAACACCTACATATCAAGATATTTGCGAATTCTAATAATACTAACCTGTCCAAGTCGGCCACGGATTGGCCACAGTTCTGTGCTTGTAATAGTACATATATACATTGTTGCCCGTTTCGGCGTACCGATGAGCCATTTCATTGACGTCACACGTGAAATGGTAGTCACCCACCATCTTGTCCAAAGCGTTTCTATTACTTACGGAATCGTCTGGATTCAACCAATCGGTGTACTCGAAAATGATGGCCTGTCTGGCTATGGCGTTAACATGGGGATTCAGTTCCGTCACAGCGCGCAAAAACTCTTGTCTGCTCACGTAGACGTTCTCCTCGTTTCGGAACAATTCGGTCAAATAGTAGATGATAAAGTAGTTGCCCTCTTCACTATTCGAACCAAGCAGAATGTTAGTTTTTTTGAAGTTTTTATTGGCTAGAGCTCGCACTGGGTGTTCGTCCAAAAAGGACCCGTCTATGATGGGCACGAAGGGAAACTCGCAGATCCCTAGCGTGATTGATTCGTTGTTTACAAGTTCCACGGGGTCTTTCTTCTTAAGGCAGTCGATTACCGCATTCAAATCGGATCTATCGTGAGGACATTTCACCGCTTCAGCCAGACGCAATCCTCTTAAGAAGCTTTCCTCCCTGGAAATGATAGCCCAAGGTGACGTGGCCGCTCCGCTTTGCATGATCGCTTGAGAGAAGAGGTTTCTGGAGAGCGGCGATAGCAGATGCAAAGCTACTGATACGGCTCCCGCAGATTCGCCGAATAGAGTTATGTTATTGGGGTTTCCGCCGAAAGCAGCTATGTTGTCTTTAATCCATTGCAACCCCATCATTTGGTCGAACATTCCCGCGTTCCCTGGAACATCGGTGGTACCGAAATAAAGGAAGCCCAACGAAGCTACGCGGTACTGAATCGAACATAATATCACATTTTCTTCGGACACTATTATATTGTGGTCGTAGATTTCCAAAGTGTTTGTACCCGAATAGAACCCGCCGCCGAACACCCAAACCATGACGGCGGCATTGGTGGGACGCGGTTTCGGCACTACCACGTTTAAGTACAGGCAATCCTCACTGAGGGGTGTGTTGGGATTCCACATGGTGGAACCGACGAAATCGCCGAAAACGGTGTCGATTATTTGTACGCATGAATTGCTCAGTTCCGTCGTGTTCAGGACGCCTTCCCATTTTTCTATTGGTCGAGGATGTCGGAATCTCAGATTTCCGATTGGTTTCTGGGCGTACGGGATACTCAACCACGCATCTACCTAGAAAGAGACAATTGTTTACTATATTTTTTAGTAAAAGTGTGACAACATCATAGAAAAATAAAAAGAGAAGGTTTGAATAAATGGCGGAACTAATTTCCTTATTGGTAGTTCAACCTTAAGCGCTTAGCGCGCTGCTATCACTAAATTCAAACCCGTTTTACACCCATAAAATATGTTTTCAAAAATAATGACAAAGAAATCAATAATTTTACTGATTTACCCCTTTAAATTTACCTTTTACATAATGTGTGATCAAATACAGGGATAATCATTTATAAATGTAAAGTTAAAGCTAAATTTAAATATTATGAGATGGTATAAATCTGGCTTTGAAAATAAATTTAGGTTATGTTGCCATAATTATGTCAGTCTGATTTTATTGTTATTTTCAAGTAGGTGATTTTTTTTTCAAATGTAGGTGAGTAAATTGTATTAATTTAGTGTAAGTTAAGTTAGATTTAACTAATTATAACTATAGTGAGGTTCTTAAGAATGCCATTAACTTCTGATTCATTTTAATTTTAATTCCAGAAGTAAATATTTTTCTCATAAAACTAACAAAAAATTTTATATTTTTCCTGATATTATTACTCTTAGAGATTTATTTATTTATTTATTTATTTATTCCAGAAACAAACAGGCATGAGCCTAATTACATGTTCCTATAAATACAGCGAAAATAGAAATCAACAAAAATACATAATATCTAATTAAATATATAAGTGAAATTATAATAAACAAACCTCGCTACTACAAAATTTTAACATAGTTCGTTAAAGAACAAAACTACTGAAATAATCAGAAATATTCAGGAATAATCAGAGCGTCTGCAAAACCCCACACCAAGGCCACGGAAATCCTACAAGGTTATATCTCTTTAATCGAGCCCAACAATTTTGTTAAGTTCCTTTCTATATGTGCTTATAGCTACATCAAAAATACCGCAAGAAATGCCTTCGGAGTGTACATTAAACAAAAGACAAATTTTTTCTACTGGACCATGATTATCCGCACGAAAAGTTAATTGACGTGGACGAATACCTGCTATTGGAACATTAATTTTTATTTGACTCAATAAATATTGACTGTCCAAATATCCATTTAATAATTTATGTAAAAAGATAAGGTTGATTATAGAGCGTCTATGTTCCAATTTTTCAATTTCAAACTCTTTTCTAATAGGTCCAAATGAAACAAATCCTGGACTTGTATGATACTTTTTAAAGTATAAATATTTGACAAATTTATTTTGAATAGTTTCCAAAATGTGTTTTAAATTTTGTTGTGTAGGGTCCCATACAGTGGATGCATATTCTAATTTACTACGAACGAGAGCAAAAAATACATTTTTAATCGAGTGTGTGTCTGTAAAGTCCCTAGTCGTGCGTTTCAAAAAACCTAACAATTTGTTAGCTTCTTTGGTAATGTTATGGATATGCTCGTCAAATTTGAAATTATTTTGAAAAACTATTCCCAAGTCGGTCATTTTTGACACTCTTTCTAGTGTTGATCCTTGCATTGTGTAGATAAAATTTTGAGGATTACGAATGTTACTGAATGTAATAACCTTGCATTTGGAAAGATTAAAATGTAATTTATTTTCAAATGACCAATCCGAAATTGAGTCTAAGTCATTTTGAAGATAAATGAAACCATATTTTAAATATTTGTGGTCAAAAAAAGGAAAGGAGTTGTGAGCGAAATGTGTGAAGCTAATTTACAAGCAGATATTCTTCAACCCGAGATAGAACCTCATCATAGTTTTACTCATAAAGACCATGATGAAAAAAGGCAAATGATTTGTGCTCAAAAAGTTATTGTTCAATTTTTGGGTAATATTCATTATTATATTTATTAAATAATACCCAAATATGTTCAAAAACTAATATGATATTTATGTCAACTTGTTAATTTTTGCATGGTTTGCCTATTAAAATCATAAATCACAAATCAGATGTTTTCTATTTTTATTGAAATTACAAGAAAATATGTAAGAATTTTAAGATACACACTGCAGTAGATGGGATTAGCCAGTTCTGGACCAAGGTCAGAGGCAAGGTCAGAGGCAATTGGTGTAATTAGTAATTACCCTAAGTACCCACCCCCCACCCTTCGAGCAAGTACCCCCCACCCTTCGAGCAAGTACCCCCACCCTTCGAGCAATTAGCAAGTACCCCCCACCCTTCGCGCAATTAGCAAGTACCCCCCACCCTTCGCGCAATTAGCAAGTACCTCTGAATTACTCTGTACACCATGTTATTGCATAGTGTAATGAGTGTAATTGCATAGTGTAATGAGTATAGTAAGTACCTCTCAGTACACATAGTGATGTAAGGACCAACCAATTATTCTGTACTGAGTGTAATTGCATAGTGTAATGAGCATAGTAAGTACCTCTCATTACACCATATGCATACCTCTCAGACAGTATTTACTGTGTATATCACGTAGTGTAATAAGTCTAAGTACTTCTCTTGTTTACTGTTGTAGCATAGGGGAAATAAGTCGGCGCCATGCACACCCTTGACTCTCAACCGCCATAGCTAAAGTGAATCACCGGTCTTCGGCAGACACGCGCGATGTAAATATTGTTGGAAGGGGTAGTATCCCACCCTTCGCGCAATTAGCAAGTGCCTCCCAATTATTCTGTAAATTATATACTTTAATGAACGTAATTGAGTAGTGTAATGAGCATAGTAAGTACATCTCATTACCTCCTAGTGATTACTATGTATTTAGAATTTACGTTACTCTATACCGAAGTAACAAGAATTGGAGCTGTTCCCGTATATTATGAATAGGGGAGGGGAGCATAGTGGAGGTGGGGATTTATTGAGAGGTATATAATATCACATCTATACGAATGAGATCAGTCGCGAGCTATAAGTGCGTTGGAAGTTTCATTATCTAATATCGAAATAATCATAAAAATAGTAGATATGTATAAGTGTAATTGCGGTTTAACATTTACAAGAGCAGATAATTTACGACGACATCAAAATAAAAGTTGTAATCTGATATCTAACCGCAATGGTGAATCATCCAGCGGTACGAAAAGAACCGCCAATTCAAGCCCGGATGTTTTACCGGTAAAACAAGCTCGTGTAATGCGAGTTTCACATCGTACCGTAGACCCACAAGTTCATAAAAGTAGATGTGAATCATGTAATGTAGACATCGCAACCAATCAGATGACATCACATATGAGGAGTCTTAGTCATAAAGAAAAGGCATGCACAATTCATGTCGATGGTATATATTTAATTAAGAGTGCATTTAAGTGCAGAATCGCAAGTTATAGAGTCAAAAGTGATGAAAAACATATAGACTATATAACATTTTTTGAGGCTATAAAAGTGAGGGTATTGGAATTGTTGAAAGTTGTTCTGAGGGCCCATAATGCCATTAAAGTTAATGTAGAGGTCTTCGCTACATATGTATTGCAGAGCCAAGATAATTCTGAAATCAAATCTTTTAATAGCATAAATCGAATACTAGATTTGCCGACGGATTTGGATGTGGTATATGCAAACTTTAAGGACGCCTTGGTATCTCAAACCGTAGACTTCCAACATAAAGATTCAGGTATAGTAGTTATATAATATATAATATATCGGTAACTAATAAATTATTCATTGTTTCAGGTTGGTCATTACAGGAAGTACTATTTCTAGAAGTTAATATAAATAAGTACTCTCCGTTAGGAGGCTGCTCATACATAAAGCTGCCTAAGTTTATTGAAACCAAGAAGGGTGTAGTGAATGTGCAGAATAATGATGCGTACTGCTTTGCTTGGGCCATCACATCAGCTCTATATCCAGCCAGAGATCATGTTAGCCTAATGTCATCGTATCCACACTTCGAGACCGTGCTGAATGTTGATGGCATTGAATTTCCCATGAAGCTTAAAGACATTTCAAAATTTGAAGACCTCAATGATATAAGTGTTAATGTTTATGGCTTGGAACATAGTTATGAAAATGGTAAGGCTAAATTTGAAATAGTAGGCCCATTACGATATTCCCGTAGAAGGTTAGGGCATCATATAAATTTACTGCTAATAACAGAAGATTCCGGTAATAGTCACTATTGTTGGATTAAAAGTATATCCAGATTAGTTTCGAGTCAAATAACTAAAAATGGTCATAAAAAATTTTTTTGTGACGGGTGTTTACTTTATTTTCCATCTGAAAGCGTCCTATTACGTCATCAATTGTGCGATTGTAATCATATATATACCAGTACACCATCAGTGGAGCTTAAAAAAGACAAACGCGGTAATTATGTCCCCGAAAATATACTGAAGTTTCAAAATTATGGTAAGCAACTAAGAGTCCCATTTGTAATTTATGCCGATTTTGAATCGATCCTAAAACCTATAGATCATTGCGAACCAGATCCGGAAAAAAAATTCACCATCCCTACATACCAACATGAGCCATATGCTTTTGCATATCTGATTAAATGTTCATTTGATGATTCATTGACGAAATTTGTAACTTTTACCGGCGATAATGCCGCGAGCGATTTCGTAAAACGCTTAGAGGATGATGTATTAACTATTTATAATACTCATTTAAAAGACATTGTTCCAATGCAGCGACTGTCTAAAGATGAAATAGATGATTTTAACACATCGACTATATGCTCTATTTGCGATGAGACCTTTCAAGAAGGCGAAGTTAAAGTAAGAGATCATTGCCATCTTACCGGTAAGAAAACACCCGGCGCCGCGCATAGCAATTGTAATTTAAATTATAAAATCCCGCAATTTGTCCCAATATTTTTCCATAATTTGAGTGGGTATGACAGCCATTTATTTATTAAAGAATTGTATGGGGAAGGTGAGAGAGCCGAAGTTATTGCCCAAAATAAAGAAAAATATATTTCGTTCACAAAACCATTGTACACCCATAGCTATGTAGATAGAGACGGTATTTTGAGAAAAAATTACATAAAACTCAGATTTTTGGATAGTTACAGATTTTTAGCGGATT